AAGGTAAATAATAGCAACCATAGTAATTCTGTAACAACATTACACAGTATGTGTAACGCAGGTGTTGGCAATCTTAAACACTCAAAGAGCCACAAAGGTCCTAACCGAAAGCTCCCCGTTCAATTCTGGAGCCAACCGGAAGTTCGGTTCACCCACCGTAGAGTCTCCTCCTAGCACGGCATCCTTTTTCCTCTACCTGTCCTAACCGAAAACCTTATCAATTGTGGAGCTGACCGGCGACAGGGAGCCGCAGCAGAGGGATGAAAGAGCCACATGCGGCTCCAAAGACCCGGGTTACTGATCCCTGGTCAATGAGAAATATATAATAAACATATCTCAGTTAGGAATCAGTTCACTTGCTTGCAAAAACTTTCTACTCAGCCTGCCTTCAATTTATCTATATTTCTGCGATGCTATTCGTTGTTTGTTTGTTTGTTTTTGCTTAGTTTTTATTGGTATTTATAAGATTTCATGGAATACTTAGGAATGACAGCTTTATTTTCTGAATACATCCTTTTACCTCAGAAATACCACCTTCCTTTGAGTGCAGTCATTCATTTAAACAGCATCAAGGGTATATAAATATTTTTAAGTTGACATTAACTAAATTTGAGGACAGCTGGTCTTCCTGTGGACTAATTGTTTCCCCACTGATATAAAACGTGTTGATTTAGAGCTGTCCTTTCCTTTTTACCTTTAAAATAATTCAATAAGTAGGCTACTTATGATATGTTTAAAAAAATACAATTCCCTATTATTTTGGAAGAGCTTTAGAAATCATCTGCCTAAGTCTTAAAGGAAAAGTCCCTTGTTTAGACCAGAGTATGAGAAGAAGTAGGTAATCTTTGTGAGCTGCAGATAGGCATGAAACAGTAGATTTTTAAACTTTTCATTTGTAGTTAATTTTTAAAAACATTCTCTCAATCATGTTAAAGTTGCATGCTGGCAGCCCTATCAAGTATTTTGTTCTTTCCGATATTTAGGCGAAATGTTCATGGTGTATCTAAAGAAAAGATCAAAAGAATGTTGGAACGATATGAACATTGCCTGACTGCTAATTCAGTTTTGAATTCTTCAATCTCAGATGACATGAGGAAGCGTGAAACCAGTGGGGAAGTTCTTCATCGCGAGAAAAGGCAGGGGTAAACTGTCTATAGATGTTTTAAGCTTGCTGTTTAAAGTACGGAGCTTATCGTGGGCTCCCCTTGGACCGTGATAGTTTTCTTGAAGACATTTCATGAACCAAATGGGTCACATTAAGAGGCATGGAAGAAAATAGCATTTGGTGCAGTTATCTAATGCAGCATCTAGCCTTCACGCTAGAACAGGGGTGTCAAACTCAAGGCCCATGGGCCAAATCTGGTCCGCGGAGTGCTCAGATGTGGCCCGTGGGGCTGGCCTGGAAACAGCAAAGGTGGTGCCTCTGCCAGTGAAAATGGAGCTCCGTTTTCGACTGTGACGGCCTCCAGCAGCCTCCTGCCAGCAGAAATGGGGCTCGGGAGAGTTGTGCGCTCGAGCCTCCACACGCATCCCCAACACAAGTNTCGTGCAATGTACAGGTCCTCAATGGAAGGCAGGTTGGTAGCAATTGTTTTTTCTGCAGTTCTAATTATCTGTTGAAGTCTGTGTCTGTCTTGTTTGGTTGCAGAGCCAAATCAGACAGTCATGGAGGTGCAAATGACAGACTCAAGCATCCAACTGAAACCCTGCAGGTCACCTTCCTACCTCAGGCTTCACCTCCATGCAACACAGAATGTTTGCATAGGAGGATGGCTTTCTGCTGGATCACTTTGATCTGGCCTCAGCCTGCCTCGATGACAGGCTAACATCGAGATACTGGTTTGTTATAAAATGTGGCCTCAACAAACAATTGGACAAAGAGGATGTGTGGATGAGGCCTCACACAGAGAAGGATCTATCCAAAATATGATTCAGTGTTTAAAATTATTAGCTGAATCCCCATATTTCATTTGAGGCAGTAAAGCTAACTAGACTAGTATTTCGGGCTCCCTACATATTATGATTCACTAGGATGCAAACTGATTTTTTTTCTTCCTTGCATTCAATCATGTCTAACTCTTGGAGACTGCCTGGAGGAGAAGTTCCCATAGTTTTCTTAGTGGGGGTTTTCAGCAGTGGTTAGCTATTGCCTCCCTCCAAGGGCTGAGAGAAAGAGTTCAGAGTCACCCAGTTGATTTTGTGCCCAAGGCAGGACTAGAATTCACAGTCTCCTGGTTTTTAACTGATGTCTTAACCACTACACCAAACTGGCTCTCAGTAATAGACAGATAGGACTATGAAACAGATGAACTCCCTTTTATTTTGGAGTTTATTTTTTGTTCATATTCTTCCCAACACTCATAATCTGTTTTATGATCTCTCCCTTATTCCTGCTTCCTGTTAGAAAAACAGACTACAGTTAATCCTTGACTTACAACAGTTCGTTTAGTGACTATTCAAAGTTACAATGGTACTGAAAAAAAATGACTTATAACTGGTTTCTACACTCACAACTGTTGCAGCATCCGCATGGTCACATGATCAAGATTCCAACACTGGCTCATATTTATGACAATTGCAGTGTCCTGAAGTCATGGGATCTTCTTTTGCAACCTTCCAACAAGCGAAGTCAATGGGAAAGCCAGATTCACTTAACAACTGTGTGACTAACTTAACAGCTGCACTGATTCACTTAACAACTGTGCAAGAAAAGTCATAAAATAGGGTAAAGCTCACTTAACAAATGTTTCACTTAGCAACAGAAATTTTGGCTTCAATTGTGATCGTAAGTCGAGTACTTATACAATATTGTTTCAAACTTTAGTTATCAGTATTTGTAGAGGTATCTTGTCTATAATATGCATTTCTTATGAAGTTTTGATTTGGTTTCCTATACTGGTTAATTTTTAGTGCACAAAGAAACCTCATCCTATCCACTTAAGTCTTTTTGAAAGCTGATCATTTCAAATGCCACATCTCCATTTAGTAGATTGTTGTTGTAATAGTCCTTGAAACATCATTGTTAATGTGCACTTAAACAAAGGGCATGCATCAACTTTCCACTGGGGGTTGGGGAGAATGAAAAATTGGCAACCGGGTTTAAGAATCCATTTACTCCATTAGCAATGCCACATACATAAGAATCAGAAATGAAGGATTTGGTGTTTGTTCCTATCACTATGCATTTTATGCCAAATCTTTTTTTAAAAAAATATGTTTTAGTAGGCTGAAAATAATGTCTTACTTTTTAATTATTATAGTCTAATATGGAAATTATGTTTTATTCATGAGTGTTTTCATCCTTGTATACTGAGAGCATTTTGGTGTTTCAGAGGTTACAAGAAGTCTGTTTATGGCCTTTCATGTTCCTATTTAAAAATGGAGTGGGGGGGGCTGTGTCTGACAAATTATTTTCTAATTACAAAATATTTTATCCTAGTTATCCTTGACTACCGTGAAGGATGGGTGTTCTGTCTTTGCTAATAGAAGGGCTTGAAAACTTTCATAAGAATAAACAAAAGAGGATTTGTTTGTGCCTTCTAAAAGGTAAAGATAAAGGTTCCCCTCACACATATTGGCTAGTCATTCCCGATTCTAGGGGGCAGTGCTCATCTCCATTTCAAAGCTGAAGAACCAGCGCTGTCCAAAGACGTCTCTGTGGTCATGTAGCCGGCATGACTAAATGCCAAAGGCACACGGAACAATGTTACCTTCCCACCAAAGGTGGTTCCTATTTTTTTCTACTTGCATTTTTGCATGCTTTCGAA